ACAAATGTGGAAGGTGTAAAAGAGGACATCGACATGTTTTTTTTTCTTCAAAGACAAGTGATTTCTATAATCAGGGTATTAACAACCTTACTGTAAGATGGAAAAGCATCATCGATAAGAATGAAGACTATTTCATTTAATAAATGTTTTGTTTTGATATATAAGTTGTTCGGCTTTTGTCATCTAAAAACAGAGCGACATTAATTTCTTGACGACCTAATATTTATCAAGGCTGTGATACGGAAGTTAAGGTCCAAAACTTGTTTGTAATTAAGCACAAAGAAAGAAACAAAAGAAAGAAAAAAACATTTCTGCAACCCTTTACATACAAACAATGTCAGAACTCTACCGAAAGTCCACAAAACTCAGTAACCTTGCGTAAAGTTATGTAATCCTACAATTGTTTTAAACGGCAACCTTGTTTGAATGACGCCAGGTGGTTAGGGCGTTCTACTCCCAATCTGCGGGTCGCGGGTTCGAATCCCCATCCCACCATACATGCTCGTTCTTTCATCCAGTATAACCATTGATTTTCTCAACCAGAACTTATAATTATAATATAATAATATCCTTACTACAAAGGTTCTGGCTGAGTAAATGAATGCTTATACTCGAGTTTGTAGGAGTGATATTATTTTATTATAATTATAAGTTCTGGCTGAGTACATAAATGGTTATTCTTGACCTTGTAGTAGTGATATTATTATATTATAATTATGAGTTCTGGCTGTGTAAATCAGTGGTTATACTCGTTTTATAGTATCACTCCTACAAACTCGAGTATAAACATTAATTTACTCAGCCATAATTAGTTATGAAAACTGTACATATGAGCTTAGCCCTGAAAATATTTTAAAGTTGTTCCAGTTTTTCGCCTCGTACAATACACGTCGCCAAATTTTCCATCAATCTGTCAGAGCTGCAAGAGAGACAAAAGACAGAATTATGGAAATACCCCACTTTTACATTCAGGCAAAGTCTTAGTACGGTATCCTATAAATCCACATATTTAACCAGTAGTTTACAAAGAATTGGAAGTCAGTGTGTTCAGGTTTCCTTCTAGAATCACTTCCTAGAAGTTTATACACAAACGCAACATACTTCGTTAAGACTTAAGAACAAAGATTGCAGTGTGTAACC